GAGCTGAGCACGGAGAGCAGGGAGGACAAATCCCCGCGGCAGAACCTCGTGGAAGAGGCCGTTTGGAGCGGCTCCACGGCGCAGGAATGCAACGGGGAGGAAAATCCGCGGAGATCCCGTACGAGGAGGGGCTGCAAACGCAGATGGCGGGGATCTGAGGAGGAAAGCCCCAGCCTGGGCCGGGGGGACGACCAGAGATGGAGCCAGAGCTGGTGGTCCACGAGCAGCTTTGTGATGGGGAGAAGCCCCACCAGTGCTTGGCGTGTGGGAAGAGCTTCTGCCGGAGCTCCTTCCTGATCAGACACCAGATTAGTCACACCATACTGGGGAGAGACTCTTCGAGTGTTTCCAGTGCGGGAAGAGCTTCTCGCGGCCCGTGTCACCTTCCGTGCCCCTCACTGTCCCCTGTCTGTGCTACATCCCAGAGACCCCGAAACCAGGAAGGATGTTGGAGAGGGCAAAAGGGATTCTACATAAGTGGAGTGGGGGATTGGGGGACCCCAAAACCCGGAAGAGGAGACCCCAAATTCTGATTTTACCCACCACAGGTGTGTCTCAGGTGTGTCACAGGCATGAGGGCTGCTGCACCTGTACCCTTACCCTATTGGTACCCTGTACCCCTAATCTCCACTGGGTGCTCTCCACTGTGGTTGCGATGATGTTTAGGGTAAGGTTAGGGGTGGGGTGAGGGCTGCTGAACCTGTACCAAACCCGAACTGGTACCCTGTGTCCTCTCCTTTGCACCCCTAACTCTCAGTGGGTGCTCTCCACATTTCAAGCCCCCTCAAGTGCCCCTGCCTCTCTTGAACAGACACCAACAGAGGCAGCATTAATACAATCCCCACAAGTCCCCCTAATGCAAGAAAATCTTTGTGTGCTGCTCCAACTCCATCCCCCACTGCAGGAACCATGTTGGGCAGAGCCCTGGTGACCCACATTCCCTGGGACCCATGTTGGGAAGACACCTGGCTGCTTATCCTTTTGTTTTGGCATTCATTTTTTTCTCTTCTCCATCTCTTTGTGCTCCAAAAAACAAGAGGGATTGATCTGTCACCTCAACCACTCAAATCTCACTGAAAATAGATCAAATTTTAACCCAAAAAGGCTCAATCCGACCTCCAAGTGCCTTGTTCCCTCCTCAAAACAACTCAGTCCCACAGGAACCTTACTGGATTCCACAGCCACCAGGGTGAGAAGGGGTTGGAAGGGGATAAGGAGAAATGGGACCCAAATTTGGAGCTGTGAGATTTGGATTGTGTTGGGCTGGCTGGGTGGAATGGATTTGATAGTGAATAAAAGTTTCACAATTCCTGATTTCTGTCCCATTCACTTCCAGTCAGTTGCAGTTCTGTTTTCAGTGGCACCTTCTCA